TGATAAGACCGATGCGAGGTCGAAACTGCAGTCCACTTCTGTCTGGATGAGAACAACTTTTGGGAAAGCAGGGCAATGTCAAATTCAATGGAAACGTCAGCTCTACTCATATCATTGTGGGAAAATTCTTCTTCTACCAGTCCTTCACCTTAAATGAAATTAGGTGAATACATCTCATATTACTTTTCTACAGACGAAGGAGACTGCAACCCAAATACAAGGCACATCCCCTTGATCTTCATACCTTCAATTGAACATTTAATTTGTTGTTATGTTTACCTCACTGTACCATATCAATAGTTTGAAGTTATCAAGCCAACTCTAAAAGACAACTAAATTCATAATAATAAGTCTCTTTGCAACCTCCGGGTCCCAAAGAAGACACTTTGCGAATGTCTTCATGCCAACTTTTAAGGAAATACGAGAGGCTCACTGTCGCTTAGAGACACTTTTAGAACGGATATATCCCGCTTAAAAGTCAACCTATTGATAGACGCAAAATGACGACAAGTGCTAATGAAAGTTTAGTACCAAATGTCAACTACCAACACTTCGAAAAATGCCAGATTTCCAGAATTATTTCCTCTTCTTCTGTTGCCTTGACTAGCCGGAAGTCCGGAACATCGGTACCCATTCTATACGGTAAAAGTAGGCTGCAACGACATCATAGACGTCATACTTATGATTAAGCTCCTTTCAGGTCTTCTAGATTCTATCGGTTGAAAAAGCCTCTTTTACGCCTTGCTCTCTGCTTCCAATGGTAGCATAAAAACTACAGCGACCAACTTTGACCACAAACTGCTTCAGAGATTTCGGGAGTTTGTCCGTCTCCAGCAGGCAACATAGAATGTCAATACCACCAGCACAGAATATCCTGCCTAAAGTGAATCACACAGTTAGAGAGAGAGAGAGAGAGATAGTGCGTGTGTTTAGAAATAGTCATTCTCAAAAGCCCAGCAAATTTGCTCGTATTTTCGTCCTCGCTTCGGAACCAACCAAATATAGGCAGCCATCCTTCTTGCCCATCGTCTTGATTTTGATAAAGTTGGTACTTTTTCAAATGTGTTAGATCTTCTCCAGCCCAGACTTCCGTTTCTGACTCGTCTGCTCGACTCGGCAGTTGATAGGGCCAGGTGACTTGGTGGCATGGCAGATGCCCTGTCTGGGAAACAGGAATGGAGAGTTGTTCAGGCCAAGCAGGCTCTGCCGAAGGCTGGATTGCGCGTAATAACGAAAAATGTACTTGTTTGAAGGATGAAGTCTACTCTGGCCAGTAGGCGCGTAAACAAACGAGCCGCCGAGAGGCAACGATGATAACTAAGCAACGATTGTAAACCTAAAATGCTCTTATTTCACATTGCTACCAACTGCTACTATCACTATAAAAGTAGTATATTATTATTACCATTATGGTTTAGTTGTCTCCTTCCAAATGCCTACCGCGAGCCTGCATAAACTGCATGCCTGACCACATTCTGAGCACCCGTTGCTTTTGTGAGGTGAACCGTGAAGCCAGACGAGGTTGAGACTGAGGCTCAATCGGCATGAAAGCCTTATTTTGATGATTATCATGAGAGAATCGTAAGCAAATCAGCTCCGATTGCCATGAAAGCTTCAGGTACAGGCAACATATTGCTGGCTGCGTTGGTGCAGGACACACTATGCAAACTCTGCGATCAAACTTTTCCCATTCGTTAAGAGCTCCACTTCACTCTTAACGTGGGACAAGTTAAAATGGAAATATGTATTCATTATCCACCTCAAGCTGGGAAACCCATTCAATCGGGAAATAAGTAGTGTGGTCGATTGCATTGGCAATTTCCTGTTTGCTTCATACACAAAATGCGATTAGGAACTGGCCTGGCATTCGTGGCAGTGTGGTGTCGTTGTGACATGTCATAAGTGTTCGCTGAACTAACCTGGCTCGAATCCCGTTGGGCGTGCCGGATAAGACCCAAACGAAGTTGAAACTACCGTCCGGGAGAACAATACATTTGTTAGTATCATGAGTCCTATTCAATCTCATGAGGTAGATTGCAACAATACATCCTTATATTCGTAATTGAGTAGGGTTTCGAGACTACCAGTAAATCATTGTAATGAGATGTATCTCATTACAATACATCCTTACTCAATACGTGCCGGTACTTTTGAAGCTAATTCAATCTGAAAGAAGATTAAATGAGGGAGAAGGAGAGGATTTCAGGACCTTGATGATCAGTCGAGGGCAGTATGTACAAGCAACAAGCCATCAGACTCATGTTCACCGGCCCCCATAATGAAACAGCCTGTTTGTCCCTGAATCTATTGGTTCTCAGTTCGAGTTCCGCTGAGGGCAATAGTGAAGTGAAGCGTAATCTGCTTCGGCTCCATTTAGAGTCCTCCTGGACAGTTTTGTTGATCTCTATCGAAGATCAGTCGAGCATAGAATGCCTGATGGCAACCAAACAAAAACTGCTTCTGCAGCCCAGTTGCCCTTACCCATCTGCCCCAAGACCCCTCCCAGCGAAGCCTATCAATAGCCTGTATTCCTCGGACAGCTGAACCATACACACAGACACACCGTAGGTCCTCATTGTCTGTTGTATTGGAGGCAAATGTGGTGGCATCAGGTCATATCCACCCAAACCCCTAGCCTCGATCGCCAGTCGCAACAAGAGTCGACCGCTCCGACCGGAATCTTGTGTGCCGGGCTCGTCTCGGAATCTCCGTCTTAGCGGGGCATCAACTGGCAAACCGCAGCCCACTTCTTGGACACCACGTAAATATATTTCCCTATTTACATTACAGTTTGCGTGTACCAACGTAATAATTGATTATTTTCCAGTTTGCCCAGCCTCATTTTGCCGCTCTGCCTCATCTTCAGGTGACCAGGAGGAGGCTTGAATGAACCCTGGCCCCGGTTGGTTCGGATCCCGACCAATCCAGAAAGACCGTTTTTTGCCCAAACCGCCTGACCTTAAAGTGACCCAAGCAAAACTGATTAGGAGAGCAATTTCTCCGCTGCCCTGCGGCAGTCCGGGTATCTGCTTCATCAAACCCCCTTCTGAACGTCACACAAGGTCGTCTCCTCTTCTGTCCGCCTTCTTAGCCAGCCTGGCTGCCTGTCCACATGAACATGGCAACGAGGCAATTCTCAAACTACCAGATGCGCACACCTTGTCTGGCCGATTGCTCCTCTGCTCTACACGCTTGATTTTCTTCTCTCCATTACTTCGGCTCTCCCAAATGCCGAGGGCTGACAACGCAGAATTGGGCAATAGGGAAAAATGCAACCCATTCGCCTGCCCGGCCCTGTGGCGCCGAGAGCGCGTAATGTACCCTCGAAAATGAAGTGCTCCCTGACATTTCAGATCATCTGCCTACTCGTACTGTTCAAGTAGTATGTCCAATTTGGTAGCAGGGCCCAGGTGGCCAATCCACCCGTGCATGGTTCGAATCCCATTAGCACTGTAGATGGGGGACATGGAAGACCGAAAGAAAACGCATTGAGAAGTCTCAGACTCTTGACAGGTGAGAAAGAAAGCTATGCGACTCACCAACGGATGGAAGATAGTCAACAGAGCGAAAGTGGCACACACACAGACACACACAAATCCTAAATTAAAGGTCAAGGAGATCTTGCGAAGAAGAGGATCTCCCAATATGATCAGTGGCCTCTCTGAGGCTCA